TATATATATATATGAACACACACACACACATTTTTCCTTTAACTTTACAATGTTTAGAAATGTTTTCTTCATCTTTATATCGCGCGTTTCAGACATAATCATATCATATGAAATTTTTGTTTTAAATTTGTGTGAAGAATCACTCAGTAAATCTTTTAGAGTACTTACTAACCACCCTGCGTACAATGATGTAATTGAATTATTAAAAAATAAAATATGTATTTTATATACGTGAAAAAATTCGAAAATTATAAATAAACGATTTACTAACCAATAGCTTTCGGATCAGCTAAACCGATATCTTCGGTAGCCATCCTTACTAATCTTCGCGCGATATAAACCGGATCCTCACCACCGGCGATCATTCTAGTTAACCAATAAAGCGATGCATTTTCGTCACTAGCTCTGACAGACTTGTGTAACGCAGAAATCATATCGTAATGTTGTTCGCCCTTTTTGTCGTACAACATATGCGTTTTCTTTAGGCTTTCCTTAATGTCATCAAGTGTTATTGCGGCTGGACCAATGTCTAGAAATTCCTTTTCATTCGGTGCTTTGCACCGTACTGCCATTTCTAGTCCTCCCAGCGCTATTCGAGCATCACCATCGCAAGTTTCAGCCAACCACTCTATCGTCGGTTCGTCTATAATAAATTTCGTATTGCGAGACGATTCGATTTCGACGACTTTGTCTTTTTCTAGGGTACTTTCTTCACTGATGTCTTGCAAAAAGCTTTCGTTTTTATCTGAAGATGCATGTATTATACCTCCCAACGAAATTACTGCACGCTTCAAGATTGATAACAGATTTGCGACGGATAATTTGTGCAAAACAATCACTCTGCATCGACTCAACAATGCAGAGTTTAAACTGAACGAGGGATTTTCCGTCGTGGCCCCAATCAAAGTGATGATTCCCGACTCAACGTGTGGCAGAAACACATCTTGCTGCGCCTTGTTGAATCTATGTATCTCGTCCATGAATACTATCGTACGCTGCGCATATTTGACATGATTACTGGCAATACCAATGACTTCCTTCACCTCCTGAACGCCGGCCATCGCAGCAGAGAGCTTAACATATCGTAGCTTAAAACTAGCATCATTCTTACACATGTGCGCGACGACATTGGCCAAAGACGTCTGCAAAAAAAGAAAAAAAAACTAACACGTATTCCAACATGTATTCGTACGAAAAATTCCAAGGACACGCAATACTTTGCCACATCCAGGTGGACCCCAAAGAATCATATTAGGTATTTCGCCTTTTTGCAAGAGTTCAGAGAGCATGGTGCGAGGTCCAAGGATATGTTTCTGGCCTACAAAGTTTAGCAGCGACGTAGGTCTCATTTGTTCTGCGAGAGGTACATGTTTGTTTCCACACAACTTTTTGCATTCGTTTTCTGTCTATAAAAGTTGATTTTTTTAATATAAGAATCTCTCTACAGGAAAAAATTGCAACGCAGAAAAATTTTGATTAAATACATTACAAAATACAAAGTTAAGTTTTACTACAATTTTTGTATGTCATTTATATGCGATTGTGTAAACTTATTTTATTACACTACAATTATTATAGTTTTAGAATTAAAAAATTACATTTTTCTGTGGCATGTCCTTAGCATATTCTTCAACCCTGAAATTCTGGGAGGAAAATTGGTCCAAAGAATTCTTCCTTTTAACAGATATCTGGTTAGCTTTTTTTACACTTGCTGGCTTTAGTTTGCTTCTTTTGCTCATGGGGCTGGAGTCCTTAAACAGCATTGTACTTTCATTCGTTGTAGATTCATTCAGGAATAAACACTTGCTGGCATGAGATTCGATAATAGAAGAAGCAAATTCCTTGGCACATATCGGACATAATACTTTGCCAGTATCCATATTTACAGAATTAATGATAATCAAGCCCTAATTCTTCTTTCTTTGTATTCTATGGTGATAATGATATATAGATGTCATTTAAACAATAAATATAATCTCGGTAAACTCTTGACGTAGAATATATTGAAAGGCTGAAATATAAAGACAATATTTATTAACAAGATTAAACATAAAACATGATTACATCGTCATTACATCATTATTTAAGTAGAATTTAAGTAGATTTCTTTTTGTTAATCATATTTTTTAATAAATTTGTATTCTTAGTCTAAAATTAAATATGTCAACATTTCCATAATTTTAATCTTAATTTGACTCTTACTTCGCCCTTTTATTGTTATTGATTATTATTTATATAAAGAGTTCTTGTAATTTTTCAATTTAATGTAAATAAACATAATAATTATATAAGTAATTAATTGATATAATTAATTCAACGCAATGTCGATCGGAATCTCTCATTATATACAGAAAAATAAACTTGTTCGACTGGATCATTTTCTTTCGACCGTGTGTCGTTTTTAATCTGTTATAAAACGTTGGTCACAGCAAATCGTTACAGATTTTAATCATATTATATTTCAAAAATATTGAGCGAAGGAAGAAAGAACGAGGCATGACAAAACGAGACTGACACGTGAATGAATTAATCACTGCCAATAATATCGTATATCAATGTCATCATAATGTAGGGAGATCCTTACAACACGGTTGCGTCATGACCTGGTTCCACCAATGTAACTTCAGTTTAACTTACTGTTTATCTTTTTCAAATTCTTAGAATTCAAGGTAATTATACAGAATCACTGCCTCACCTCAAAAATCGATCAAATTAAGCTTATTCGACGCGTTTTTGCATGAAACGAAAGAATCTGGCAGAAAAAAGTGTCGCTCTGCCCTACGAACCGAGATATTTATCGTTAAAGTTGACGATTATGGAGGTTAGGAAATCTGTCGTACCGACTACGTAGTGCTACGAGTATGCCTTCTTCATGCTGTCTGACCTCGTGCGCATGCGCTTGGTATCGTTTGAGTCCAACAGAATGCACGAAATTTGAAATTAACACTGCAAAACAAATATATTGTTGTCAGACACGAAATTCTACACCTTTCCCTGTTCAGAAACGTTGACTTTCCATGCGAAGTAACTTCCCCCCCCCCTCTCTCTGCACAGGGGCACTTCTACGATTGTACTACTGTCGGGGCAGACCTCTGTCCATCTCTCCCTCCCCCCCTGCTGAGGGGCACACGACTTCTACGATTGTACTGTCGGGGCAAACCTCTGCCTACTGTGCCTCTGCCCGAAGGCCACCCCCTTGCATCCGCCCGTGTGTGTGACTGTGACAGATTTCCTAACCTAAATAGTCGTCAACTTTAACGTTAAATATCTCGGTTCGTAGGGCAGAGCGACACTTTTTTCTGCCAGATTCTTTCGTTTCATGCAAAAACGCGTCGAATAAGCCTAATTTGATCGATTTTTAAGGTGAGGCAGTGATTCTGTATAATTACCGAATTCAAAAAATCTAAAAAAAAGAGTGATATAAACCGAGATCAAAGCTAATCTTACATTAGTCGAACGTCACCGAGTTTCGTTTGTTTTTATCCTGCACTATAATCCTATTTCACCTTATTAAGTTCCAAAAGTGTGCACTAGTTCACCTAATCTAATCGTAGAGTCACTTGAGATCGAGCCACGTTTAGTTAGCGTCACGCCCGCCACTGTTTGATTACTACAGGATTGTATGAGACGTGGGCGAATTTCGATAAAATGGAGAGGTACAAACGCAACGGCAAAAGCAGAACTTTACCGCGTGATGCGCAGAACCATCACCGGACGGAATTGTCGGAGACGGTACCGTTATGTCAAACTCGTGCTAACCTAAGTAACGGGGGGGGGGAGCGTGCGTGAAAAACTACCTTGACCGCGCAAAATCTCGACCAAGCACGACCAAGGGTGCCGACCCGGAACTCCCGAAGAAGGGCGGAAGAGCGTTTCGTGAGGATCTCCTGCAGGGAGAGTCGACGTTAATTACGAACAGTCACGACCTCGTGGAGGTCCGTTAACGGAGAGTGGCATCCAGCCGTGTCAAACGGCGCTGACGTGGGCGGCAGACGGTAAGATTTCACGAATTGCCCTTTAAACGGTAGATTTTGCATCTCGTTTCCGGCTGGGAGTCTCCGACGTGCGAGACTAGTCTCTATCTCTCGCCTCGTTTCTTAGAGAGAGAGAGAGAAAGAGGGAAAGATTCGACGTTCTCTTTCTCTTCAGATCTGTTACGTGGATCTTAAGACGATGGAAGTCCGGCGCAGACGAGCGAGACCGCAGGACAGCAGCAAGCCAAACGCCGACGCAACAACAGATCAACCAAGAATGGTTCAGAGGGACGAGGTGAGCCGCCCGCGAGCTTTAAATACGACGATTTTTTTGCCGGGTGCAAGCAGACGGGTGATCTGCAGAGAATCATACGCTGAAAGATCTCTGCGGCGTTTCTGCATCACTCCGAATGAACAGTGCAATATGAATTTTTTTAATTTGCTCCAGTGAGAAAGTACGAACGTTAAAATTCCGATTTATGTATTGAGAAAAATCTTTGAGATTAAAAAATCTTTTATACATATAATATAATATGATACTCTTAAATAATACCGATATATTAATTGCGATGTACATTATATTATTGGATATGGTACACTTTATACTACATTGCTCATTTGTTTTTTTTTACTAAGGAATACTAAAGACCGGTTTTATAAGAGAAAAATATTTTCATGTCATTAACATTAATTTTATACACTTTTTTCAGTATATATGTCTCGGCCAATTCAATTTCGGAAATAAATTAGGCAATCATATATCTTCTAATTTAGTTTCTGTTGCAATTTACTTATAAATAAGCAAACGAACCGATTCTAAATTAAGTAAATGTGTACTTTATTCAAAACTGAACACAATGAAACGTAAAGACGTCCGGTCAAGAAGAAGTATACAAGCAGATTAATCAAAACAGTAGCACGCACGCAAGACGAATGAATGAGAAAAGAAATGAGAATCACCTTCGTTACATAAACCGCGAAATACGAACAGACTTATTTAACTGACTCCAACAGTTTCAAATATGTTGTGACAAAAAAATCTAACAAAAAGTAATTTTATTATATTTTATTGATATTGTGAGATATTTAATAGATTTAAAAAAAGTTTAAGATAGAAACGGTCTCCTACTCTATTTTTGCAAAGAAACAATTGACATTAAACTTATCAAAAGATGCAAAATAGAAAAAGCAAGTGTGATACTACGTATTGTGTTAAAACTCTATTGCATGTAAAAAATGGAATTTAAATATATGATTATATATTTAAATTCTCTATTTTTTCATTACATAAAAACATATTGATTAAATAATACTTCAGTAAAACTTTTATAGTCATCTTGTTTATATATCTTTAAGAATCACTATTTTGATTGTTTGCAGTTTTTTTTCAAAATTAATTAATTATTAGATTGGTTGCATTTATATTGATTTTACTGTATTGATTCTTATTTGTTACAGGCGAATGGACAGCCAGATTCGAACACTACTACTTTGATAGAAAGTAACAAAGCAAATCCATTATTTTCTATCGAGTCAAAACAATCTTTATCAAGCAATGTGATTCATGCTCGAATCAGAATCAGTTTGGAGATTGACTTGATAGCGATGATTTTACTAATTTCGGGCATTTGCACTCGTCTCTATTGCCTCGAGGAACCGCGTAGTATAGTGTAAGTACGCATTTTTGACAAACAATATAATGCTAACACATTAGAAATTAGTAATTGTTATATTATGTCGTTACAATGATATAGGAATATGGAATTTTGCTGATATAATTATATCTTTTGTAATTTAATAAGCATTAATAAATACAAGCTATATAATTTGAAAATATATTAGACTTAAATTGTGAATGCATATTTTGCAATAAAACCGCTCTTTAATCAGTTTTTTATTATACAAAAAAACGAATAATCACAAAACTGTAGCTTTGAAAAGTTCTGATGAGAAATTTGACAAGTTATTCTAGTGTGTGAGCTCACGTATATATTATATGTATGTGTGTGTACACAAAATTCGATTTATTTCTTATTTAACTTGCAGTTAGAGCAATTAAATAAAATTGAAAAAATCATAAATCAGAAAATTTAATGGCTAATATTGGTTTCCATTCATCTTTTCAATTACAGTTTCGACGAACTACATTATGGCAAGTACGTTGGATTATATATGAAAAGGACATTCTTTTTCGACTCCCATCCGCCTTTAGGGAAACAATTGATTTCTGCAGCCGCGTATTTGGCTGGATTCGATGGACAATTTAAGTTTGATAGGATTGGAAGTCCTTATAGCGACGCGATTCCTTTATATGCGTTACGTCTAGTACCGGCGATATGCGGCAGTTTATTGATTCCTACAGGATATTATCTTGTCCTGGAATTGGGTTTGAAACAATGGGCCGCAGCAATTGGTGGAACTCTACTCTTACTCGGTAAGAGTAGAATTCGTATTCTCACAAATTAGAAAATGCATTATATGGAAGATTACTGTAGTAATTGTAGCATGCTGTTCATCTCTCTGATATTATATCCTATCTTCATTTGTCTTTGAATTAAAAACATACTAGCATGTCTGACATTTAAATTATGTTATGCTCGAATTGAAGATAATAACGCATAGTAACGAGATTCTATTGTATGCACAGTATAAGTATTACATACACATAATTTATTACTCAAAAATCAAACAATATTTAAGTACTAAATCTTATTAAAAATTAAATTTAGCCGGTGATGCCTTTGCTCCTGCAACCCTATAATGCATGGGTACTGCATCGATATGGTTTATTAATTTAGATACTTGCTATTTTAGATAATGCACTGTTAACACAATCGAGATTTATCCTGATGGAAAGTATTTTGATGCATTTTTCGTTGCTTGGCTTGTTATGCATCGTAAAATTTCGAAAAGTCATGGATCGGCCAACATCAGCGTCTTGGTGGATATGGCTGATACTAGGCATTGTAAATTTAACATGTGCATTATGGTACAGTTACAGTTTTTTTTTTTTTCATTTTTTATACTTTTTTATTCTCGATTGAGTATAATTAAAATATTTCTTTACAGCGTCAAATACGTTGGATTTTATTCTATGGCTCTTGCGCTCTTCTTAATCGCCCACGATTATTGGTCTTTGCTCTCAAGAAAGACCCTGTCGAACACAATCTTGTGGATTCATCTTTTACTAAGATTCGTCGTATTAATCGCTGTTATTGCCGCCGTATATTTGAGCATATTTTACGTACATTTAGCAGTACTCTCGAAGGCGGGACCGCATGACTCGGTGATGACGAGTGCATTTCAAGCAAGTCTGGAAGGAGGACTCGCCAGCATTACGAAAGGGCAGCCTCTGGAAGTGACGCATGGTTCGCAGATCACCCTCAGACATACATACGGTAGAGCTTGTTGGCTGCACAGTCATAATCAAGTGTATCCGTTGCGATATCCTGATGGTCGTGGCAGCTCTCATCAGCAGCAAGTCACTTGTTATTCGTTTAAAGATGTTAACAACTGGTGGATCGTCAAGAAACCGGACAAAAACGATTTAGTAGTAACGAAACCCAGCGAACCCATTCGACACGGCGATGTGATTCAATTGGTACACGGGATCACGAGCAGAGCGTTAAACTCGCACGATGTTGCGGCACCGATGACGCCACAGAGTCAGGAAGTGTCGTGTTACATCGATTACAACGTGTCTATGCCAGCGCAGAATCTGTGGCGGGTGGAGATCACGAACAAGGATCACTCCGGTGACGCATGGCATGCGATTCAGAGCCAAGTGCGGCTGATACACGTGCACACGAATGGAGCCGAGTTCGCGTTGAAGTTTAGTGGCAGGCAACTGCCCGACTGGGGTTACAACCAGCACGAGGTTGTGGCGGATCGGTTGATAGACCAGACCAATTCCATCTGGAACGTCGAGGAACATCGATATACTAAGAGTGAAGATCAAAAGCAACGA